TAGTGAAAATGCACGAATTCTTTGAAAACATTTTCCTTTGATCCTGGGTATTATGGCAATGATCTTCGTATATATTTTTGACGAAGAAAGCTGCTTCTTCAAAAAATGCTTAATTTCCTGGCCTCTGGGACAGATGTACTTGGGGGGGGGGGGGTCACATAGTCTGAAAATTGTTTAATGCTTTGAAATCTGCACTTTGGTATTATCAAAATGATGAAATAAAATTTCCAAAATTTTGAAAGATGTGTCCCCAGGGTCAGTGGTTCCTGTGGGATGGGGTGAACTGATAATGATAAAGTGGAAACGCATTTTCTCTTTGTTACTCTTATCTACCTCTTGGTATTGCTAACCAAAGTAAGCATGCTGAGTGCATAATTATAATAAGCAATGGTGCCTCTTTAAAAATTATGAATCATAGCCTCTGGTTTAAAACATGAATCAAATTCAATTGTTGGGAAGTTGTTGCATGATATTCAGGTGACCTATAAGGCCCATGGGCCTCTTGTCTAATTTTTGAAAGATCAATTTCAGTGATAACTTCTGAATGACATATGAAAGGGCGTTCAAATTTGACATAATATTATGCCATAAAAATGTCATATCACCCACAGAGACACCGAAAGTGGGGGACCATAATTCTTTAATTCGCTTGTTCACTCTTTATTTCCATGAAAAGTTTCATCCCAAGAGTTACATTATAATTCAACTAAATTAATTGAATACTAGTACACACAACATGGCGATGCATCAAATAAATCTGGCTAAAATTGGTTTGTCTACTCCGGAAGAGAGATCTTTTTTTAATTATTCCTCTTTACATGTATTGTGTAAAAGTTGTTAGCAGTAACTAATTTCAGTGGACAAACCTGCATGTCTGTGTCCATGATTTTGGCGGGTGGCTCAAATTTGGAATATTTGTATACCTATATGATATATGATATATGATGTTGTGGGATCCAACGTGTCTTAAAAGATGTTTTTAAAATTTTTTTCCTATATTTACACTTGTGAAAACTGATCACCTTTAACCTATATAGTTATAGGTCTATATATACCTGTGTATGATTTTATCAAATTACTTGACACACCTAATATCCAGTAACATTAATCACTGTTAATGATTTTCATGTTTACAAATACACAAAAGTGCTTAATAATAATTATCTTAGCATTGAGAAATATATGTTACAATTACATGTAAACAGTAATACAAAAAGTCTTGAAAGTTACTGATAAATTTATTAGAGACTGTTTTGAACCTAGAAGTCAATTACTTGACAATTCTTGAAAAAAATATGTAAACATTATTTAATGGTGTTCAGTGGGCCTTTGCCAATTATTGTAATTGTGTTTGTGCCAATAAAGTATTTGTATTTGTATTTGTACACCGATTCATGATCAGAATATTGAATGCAAAATAATATGGACTCTAGTGTGGCATAAATCATGAGTATTTCTGTTTGATGTTCTTCATGTAAAAAATGCAAATTGCCAAAAGTGATACCTTCAACATAAAGGATAATGGTTGCTGAAGTGTTCCTTCCAGTCCTACTGCATGAAGCGACACATAGGAATTCTCCGTTAGCCTCCTTGCTAATCATTTCGATATTTAAAGAGGTGTTCTTATTATACAGTGTACAAGATGGGCCTTTCGGGTTATTCTGACACCAGCCAAAAGGAAATGGATGAAGGGCAGTCTGATTGTCAGGGCGGAAGAACCATTCCATGCTATCATGAGAGGAGGGGTGACATTCCAGAGTGATTGCTTCTCTGGGGTAGCGCGAGGTGGATAAGCTGTCGCTAGGAGGTATCACGGGAATATCTGAAAAAAAAAATAACCTGTCATTATATTAAAGTTATCTTCCTTGTTGTTTTCAGTATGCCTTTTTAGACGGTGGCTATTTATAGCCACAGGCTATTGATGCTGCATTGTGTAAACACACGGGAACCCTAGCGGCGATTTTTGCAGAGTCAAAATAATGAAAGTAGACTTATTTCGATGTTTGAAAATAAAATGTACTCAGTTAACAAATACTTTCAAGTTATTTCAAACACATTTCGTTGATGGATACAAAGCCTAATTCCTGATATTTGCCGTTATCAATATTTCTCGCCTCATGAATATTCATTGAGTTACGCCGAACTAAACTAACTCGTACACCAACCGACTCGTATATTCGTATGCAAACTACAGATGTCAATACGTACATTTTTTTTTTTTTCGTTTTTTTCTCACATGTTCGAAAAAATCCGTTTCGTACGCACATTGTGTTTCTTTAAGGATTTCAATCCCTAATGGGAACAAATTCTCTACCCTTAAATGTCCGTCAAGTACACAATACTTTGATATTATATTAAAGCATTTTATAGTGGAAAAGGATTGCCCACGAGAAATTTTCAAAAAGTTCATTAATTAAGGAGTAGTTAATTAACAAAGATTGCATTGAAGTTTATGGGGAAAAGCGTTTTTTTCAAAATAAAAATTCAAATACTTTGAATATCAATAAATCCTGTGGTGGAAAGATGCATTGAAATATTAAAAATAGAATGATAATTGAAAACAATTTTTTTACCTGCTAAATTTTTTTTAATTGAATTTTTTTAATTTATTAAATAAAGGGGAGATAACTCTTACCAAAATTCAAGGTCATAAATTAGGACACATCCCACTAAACATACTTATAGTAATAAATGGGAACTATGTCTAAACAAACTGAGTATTGAATGCCTACATATCTTTTATGGTTTCAATTTCATTGAATTCCTTCCTATTAGGGATTGAAGACCTTAAAATTACCAATTAGTTGTTGAAAAATATTTGAAAATTTCATTGTATGATTGTTTCACTATCTAACTCCGAAATCAATTACTAGTTATTGCTAAACAACACACGGCTGTTTCTTGAATACTGTTTTGTGAATTTTTTTTACAATAAAACTTAAAAATAGTTTATTGAAATTTAACAAACTTTGTCTTTTTGTTTGAATTTCTTATATCTGTTTACAATGCTGTATTAGTAAAACGAATATATGTATTTTAGGAAAGAAGAAAAAAGATCGCTACATCTTAATCAGTTAATAAAATGGTTGTTGGAGGTATATGATGCCATAAAATTTGCTAAGTTTATTACCATTCTAGTTTTTAAAATTAAGACTTTGTCTGATTATCTCGGACACAAAAACGACTCAGCGGATAAAAATTTGTCAAAGCTATAATTACAGACTATAACAGACAATTTACCCATATATTTCATTCCTATTTAGAAACTCCAAGTTACGTGCCTCTAGTAAATTTACCCTTTAAAGGGTGTACAAAAAAGGTACTCAAATACATGTGCATGAAATAATACTATTATTAGGATTTTATGCGATTTTAGTGGGCTAAATTTAGGTCAGTCTTCTGGTGTGTTCACAAAGCAGTAAATATGTATTGCGCAATGATTTGCAGGGTTATTGCATGATTATTAGAATATTACGTAATATGAGAAATACCATCATCACAAACCATAGCCAAAATGTACGATCCCTTCCCATTCTGGAGAAAGCTCCATGCGCATATATACAGACTCCGATCGTGACTTGAGACGACAGAAAATAGAGACAGAAAAATATTTTGTTATTCTTTTTTTTTCTATTTTTTTTTTTTCGAGCAGTATACGAGGGTTGTCGTGTACAAAGCGTTTTTCTCGAAAAATAGTAGGCGCTGCAAGATGAAATTTTTTGCAAGTATTTATTTATTACATTTTAGTGTATCTGAATTCTTTTGTTAAAATATAGACAAAAAATTAATACTTTATTAACATGCTTCAATGTACTTACGCACGAAAAAAAAAAACAGTTTTAAAAATAATACATGAGTATTGTTTCGAAATAAAATTATTAAATAGTAATTTGGAAAACATTATCCTATTTTTTATTCACTACCTATTGTGTCGACTTTTGGAAAATTTAAGGACATTTGCTTGATTATTTTATCAATTTATCAAACATCCGAAATGGGCACGAAAAACGGCGGCGTTCGATGACGATACTACACACTGGAAAGCAGTTCAGTTTTTTCCTCTTTAGCGTATTAGAGAAATGGGAGTTTTCTAAGCGAAATCGATTTAATCAAATCGAAGGGTAGAACAAACAGCTACAGGAATAGCGGAAGGCGCTGTCAATGTTGACAGCCAATTATATAAGATTCTTTAGTTGAATGATAGTAAAAATGTGGTCCATAACTTTAGTACTAATAATTCTTCACAAGGTCTTATTTGTGCGCGAGATTGGTTTCTGGCTGTTATTTGAAGAATTAAGGGAAACTCAAGTATGTGCATCAATAAAATTCCTTAATTTAAATTGGAATTATCCAACTTGTTTTTAGCAAAGAGGAAACTTGACGCTGTTTTAGACATTTTGACATCATTATCATCCGTGTGTCGTATTAAATGAAATCTGATAATTTGCAATTGTTTATTTATGCATATACCTATTTGAAGTTTGCTATGTTTTTTTAAATGAAAATTGTAATAGGATAGTAACAATTTTAGAAAACAGTGACAATTCATAACACTTTATACTTTTAAGTACAAAAAATATAAATTCATATATTAAAGTACAGGTAGATATATTGTGAAACGTTGAAATAAACTTTTAAAATTTCCATATCATTTTACAAAATCTTAAAACATTTTTTCTTATATACTGCCAGTCGCCATTGGCGTAGCGGGTTTGCTTTGGACTCACGGACCTGAAGAAGTCCATCCGTACCGGCGTCGCAGATTCGACTCCCACTGCGTGACATGGATATCGGCCCTTAATTCAGATTGCGATCCCGTGTCGCAGTAATTGCTAGCCAGAAAAATATCCTTCGCTGCTAAAAATTTTATTCTCGAAAGGAGTGTTAAACAAACAGAATCATTCATGCCACCGTCTTTCAGTACTCACAGTACTTTGATTAGTTTGATAAAGGGAAGTGAGCCAACCCCCCACCACCCCCACCACCCCACTCCTTTCTTGGTCCGCCTTGACTAAAATCTATATACATGTATGTAGTTTCTTGCAGACCACGAAGTTTTACAATAAATATACATCTGAAAATCAAATTTTGAAAAAATACACACAATGCGTCATTATTTTATAAAGAGTAAAGTTACAGGGCACTATCTTAATAATTTATCATTCAATCATCCGGGATGTAAACTTGAGTTACCAGCTCTCTTTACTCTCGTGATCTTACTGTACTTACCGCATGTTGTTTGAGCAGACGACCTGACAGTAAGTAGTGCTGTTAAGAACGTAGAAAAAACTGGGAAGGTACAAGGATCTTTCATGGCTAGTGAATAAATTGGATATATGGTAAATCCTGAAACATAAGCTTCAATCTTACAGTTAAACAGCCGAGCTTTCAAAACTATGAGAGGAAGGAAGTGGTTGAGTGTCTGAATTTTAATTCGACAGTCTATGCAGTGCACGGAAACAAAATATTCATGAGTTTACGATCATTGCTTTATCTTTTTCATACGTTTTCCTGTCTACTTGGACTACTTACTTGATATTATACAATATTTGATGAATATCATAAACACGGACTAAAGTTTTACTTAAACAAGTGAATAACTAGAGGTACTGTGAACGATGAGCTCACTAAATGATACCCCCCGCCTCCCATAATGTCCATTTGTTGCTATATATTTTTTTACGGTAATGTGTAAAGAGGAATAACTCGCCCTATCAAATGTTATCCAGTAGCTTCTATATGTGTCGTCATAGGTAAACATATAATAGCAATGTCCATGTTTTGCTTTGGGAAACCTAAAATACGTGTTGAATAAAAAAGTAAAATAGGAGGTGCACAATGGCAATATGTAATAAAGATTTTGTGAAAGTTTCATTAAATTTCACTCAGTAGTATAAGAGGAGTTGCGGATAAGAGATAAAGCGTAACAGACGGACGGACGGAAATCCCGATTACTATATACCATCCCATTTTTCAAGCAGGGGATATAATAACATCTAATCGCAATACCTATCCTGTTGAAAAAAATCTAATCCAACTTTTTTTCTTCGTTGAGTTGAAATCTACAAGTTTTAATACCCCCATTATTAAAACATGTAATCCATACTTCGCACTTAACTATTTAAAGATAACTTCATCCTCAGAACTACATGTATATTAAAATTGATTGTAACAATAGAGAGAGAGAGAGAGACGAACTTACCGAAAATTTGTTTTCAAACAGCAAGGGTTACAGTTCGTAGCTTGCCGCAGGCTAGTAGTGAGGTAAAGAAGTTCCTATTTAAAAATGCCTAAATTTAAAATTCATAACTGTTAAAATATGTGCTTTAATACAAC